ATATACAGTATATACTTTATATTTTACTGCATGCATCTTTAATATTTTGAAACATTTCTATCTTCGCATATGTACGGATTTTCTTGCGTTAAAATCTATGACGGAAAGATGTTCTCTATCATTTCTGATACTTGCTAAAATCCGTTCATAACTAGCTCCTTAACAGAATGTGTTCTTTAATAAGTGTAATGCTGTATGTTAAATTAACGGTGAAAGGGATATGTATATGTTTTGGTGTTAACTGTAAAATGTACATATTACACGCAAGTTTTAGTGTAAATGTACACTGTACTATTGTGTGTTAATCTTGATATTAACAACTCGTCATTCGATTTTGGTTTTGATTTATAAACTCTACAAATATCCGTCTACTCAACTGACATGGACAGTTGCAAAGAAAATCTCATTTCTGTACCAGTGTCTGAGTGACTGATTCTATGAAGACGTTGTGGGAAAACAAATAAGAGCTTTCTATTTCAGGATTTGAGCTGATGACGATAGATGAGCTGAAGGAAGTAGTTATAACGGATAAATTTAAAACAAACTGTGCTGGAGTTGTTATTGACTTCCTGATAAGACACAGTCTATTGGAACCTGATAACATGCCGGATTACGTGGAGATTATTAACTTACTTCATTCCAAACATCCCTTCTAATGATTATCCGAGTTACTGGGGTTACTGAGTTTATTAGAATTAAAACACCGAATTTTTCAAAGATGTTTTACTCAGATACATATTTTTATTGATATTATTAGCGATTTTGACCTTTTTAAATCGGATTGACACTTGTATTTTAAAGATATATACTTTATACCCAATGATAAGACTTATGAATAAACAGGAGATAACCAACCCAACATGTAGGAAAATAGCATTAATCAAGTAGAAGTCATTACATGGAATGTTGCTTAATTGCACATAATATAATCGACAGTACACTTGATACTTGATCCCCAATAGTCAACAAGTGGGCGGGCACCTCATTATTTGACACTGCCTGATGGCTAATTAGATCATAACGCTATCAGATCGTATCTTAATTAGGTCATTACTAGGCAGATTTGCAAAATGCAGCAAAACGAATTCTCTTAATCCCTTCGTCAGTTACAGCTAGAATTTGGGCCTATCTTCGGCTATCTTCGGCTTCATGTTGTGTTAGAAATTACCATTGAAACTATCCGGTTTTATATAATAAAAGTTATTAGATTATATTATGTTGATATATTACATCGTGATGTCATGCAAAACATTGCCAACAAATTCAGTTAGGATACATTTTGGCACCACAAAGGTCACACACAGTTTACTCTCTAAACCCTAGAAACCCTTTTAGGCTTCCCAAAGGCCGCCAATCGTTGTGATTTGCCTTCTAAACTCCCGATTTGGATTTCATGCGTCGGAGGTCTTCACGTTCAATGAAATTCGTCGGAAATGATATTTCCGAGCATCGCCGGACGCGCGCGCCCAACCGGAATTAAATGTGGAAAAGTTTAAGGTCTACATATTGTGAGCATTATTCGCACGACCGTTATGATCGACAAAATACTTGGTAGATTAAAACGTTTTGTTGTGTTGTACCTGATTTCCTCTACGTAATAACAAAAAACTCAGTTTACCGACTGAAGCCGGCAAAGTATGTATACCGTATATACCTAATATATTATATTATTGTGCAAGTGTTGTGATATTAGTTTACATCGACCCTTGATAAGGTTATCGCTCGTATTTACTTCTTTCTAATTTCAACTGACTCAGGTAGGATGTCAGCCCGCTCATGCGTTCTCTTCCTCACAGGGCCCCACACATCTCAGGAGTTCATCTCCCAGGTACTACCATCATTTCAAGAAACCATCATTATAAACGTTCTGTTAATCTTTGTTGGTCTTTCAATTTCGGTTCAACTCAGATTTAAATCGGCTTACGCCTCCACAATATTGTAGAAGATAACATTCCTGGAATATGTATGTATATTGACTCATGAATATACATTAACTTAAAATGAACGGCTATTTCCCTTACAGGTGCTGTCTCAATTTGACGCTAACTTGAGTGGGGATATCCCTTGTTGCATCATCACAAGTTCAGGAGAAGCACCTCTCTGGTGCGGTACTGAGTCTCCCGGACCAGCTAACTCTCAGGAAACCACGTGGAGTACCTCTCTAGCTGGACTCAAGTTTGATGAGGAGAAACTTAGGGCTGGGTCCCTTGATAACGTTGGGATAACACTTCATAACTTGCTGGACGAGATTCCTAAATATAACGTTATACATGCAGTGTGGATCACAGAACAGGTTACATGTTTAAGAATATTAAATTATCTGTAATTGTTTCATTGCTAATTTATAATTTTCGGCCTAAGTCTGCCCACTTTATGTGACCTACGCTTAAAAACTTCGCTTAAATTAATGAATTTTTTATTTCAGATCCCTACAGCGGGGGCATCACTAATCCTTGCCAGTGGTCTAATGAGATTCATTAAATGTCATCATGGTTACCTGTCCATAGTGTCCCAGTCTAGGGACACTAACCACAGTCCTTGGGTTAAAGCAATGAAGGCTGCTGTTCTCCTGAAGAGCGATGTTCACAACTTGGCTAAGATCATCAGCAAGTGTTGTTGGGTTACTGACATCAACTTCAGAGGTGGGTGCTCTAGTTATGGGGCCAACATTTGTTTTAAGTAGTTTTATCTTACAAAGAAAACAATTTCAAACTTACTTTGTTTAATACAGAATGGATCAAATAACTACACTGGGTACATTGGACAGTTTATAATGACAGGTTAATGTTAAATTACAAATTCGCTAATGATTTTGTTACCAGGAACGGGGCAAAGTAGTGTGGACATGACACTAACGGGAATTGTTGTGATGGGAAAACACACGGACTTTGTAACGAACGGGAATCTTACACTCCTTTCTGTTATACAGGTTACTTGATATTATCAACACGTGACTTTGTCACTACACCATTCTAGATCTCTGTATCATCTCTTAATACTAACCCTGTACACCACATTAAAAGTGTATACATTTTAACCGTATCTCGATACATTGACAATTAGTAGGTCCGTTAACTCTTGTAAATTAATGGTATATTTCCTCTCCAGATTGTAAATTCGGTTCCACTGTACATCCTAAAAGAGTGTGTTGACGTTACTACGGTTGCCATGGATACCGCTCGGAGATTGGCTACACTCACAACCAGAGGAATTTTATGCAAAGTTACTTACCAGGTCTGTTTAAAATAAGTTACTTGTGGTTAAAATATTTAGCAAAATTTACAGTGTCCACTTCAATAACACTGATTTATGTTATTTATTTTCACTCATACGGTTTGTTTCGTCATTTCATGACATTAAAGAGACATCACACGTTCCCTTAATACATGTTATCCACAGAGAGAACAAGGTATTAAGTTGAAGTCTGAGTGGATACGAGCAGTGCAAACTCGCAGTATTGGTAACTCAGCTAACACCACGCAGGGACCTTACGTTCTCTTGTGGAGGGGAAAACTTTACACTTTCAGAGACGTGCTGCAGTAAGTAGTGTTTTAGCTGCAGTAAGTAGTGTTTTAGCTGCAGTAAGTAGTGTTTTAGCTGCAGTAAGTAGTGTTTTAGCTGCAGTAAGTAGTGTTTTAGCTGCAGTAAGTAGTGTTTTGGCTGCAGTAAGTAGTGTTTTAGCTGCAGTAAGTAGTGTTTTAGCTGCAGTAAGTAGTGTTTTAGCTGCAGTAAGTAGTGTTTTAGCTGCAGTAAGTAGTGTTTTAGCTGCAGTAAGTAGTGTTTTAGCTGCAGTAAGTAGTGTTTTAGCTGCAGTAAGTAGTGTTTTAGCTGCAGTAAGTAGTGTTTGAGATGTCGTGTAATCGACATCAGCATCTAGCATGTTATATGTCCTCTGAGCTTCAGTGTAATACATATTATGCGAATAAATAAAATGCACATGTTGCCGCAACATGTATCGAGTGGAAATATTGCAACTCAGAGAATTTTTACATATATTGCACATTCTGTAGTCAGCATGGTGTTTATAAATCAGACTACATTAAGATGTCGGTACTAGTTTAAAGATAGCTATTACTAAGCTGTTCTCTTCAGACCACCTAGCACCCAAAAAGGAGGAGTATTTATAAACCAGAACCCACGTGTAGACTGGAGTCACGAGCAGAAGCTACTGGAGTTCTTCGAGAGGGCGGCCGTTGAGAGCACTAAGACTGATAAAAGTTTTCCAGTCAGGATACCTTCTCCTAGAAACACACCAGCTGCCGCCTCAGTTCCTTCTCCTATGGTACCAACTGTAACATTTATTTCTCATGGATATTTATTTTCACATTCCAGGGGATCTTAATTTTCTATGTTCATTTTCTGTTCACATCATATGCGGAGTTTTGGAGGACAGATAAAGTTTTGATTCTTCATGATCTATAGTTTCAATCTATAGTTCGTTATATAACTTTATTTTCAGGATTTCCTGAGTAACTACGATCCCAGCTCGTTCAAGAGTGATAACCAGGATAGTTCAGGAGAAGAGTTCCACGAACAAAGAACTGCTTCGCTTCCCTTTAGAGTGAGTCTAGTTAACAACATTTATCCACGTTCCACGTATTAAAATATAGTCGGAGAAACTTCTCGGCTGATTTAACTTAATTACTTGTTATACTTAGATTGATATCATTACTTGAAGAATATTAAATAACTGGTGTTAATAAAATTACAGGATGTAGTGAACTTACAGACTCACGGTATAAACTATTTTAATTGTCACGACGATTCAGACGAGCGGATACAGGAATTACAGAGAAAATTCGTCCATCGGTAATGATTTATACTTTAACCGAGACATCACATAAAAGTGGATCTGGAAAATATTGATAACTTTTTATTGAATTACTGGATATTATATCGAGATTGAAAGTTGATAGTTAACATCAACTAATTTCAGAGAAACATACTGCAGCCTCTCACCCTACAACACCGAAGAGAAACGAGAATATAAATCAGCAACCAGTAAATCAAATAAAGACTCCAGATTTTACCGCACAAGCTCCAACAACTCTGAAAAGTCAGTGAGCGGTAAAGGAAAGTGTAAAGCTTCCACCCTCGATCGTAGTAAAAGCTTATCTCACTTACCTTCGTGTAGTTCTAGCGTTAAAATTGAGCCCAGGCACGCCAAATCGTCTGAAAACATTGCTCAGATTCCGATTGTTTCTGTAAGTCGGAACACTAAATCTACAGAAGTGTTACCACCAACTTCGTCTGAAGCTAAGCCAGAATCCTCGGGTGTCAGTTCTAATTCAGAAACTTGTGGGACGTTAAAACCCTCTAGATCGCAGAAAAACAAGACTCTGTTGAAATCCGTGATATCGGAATGTTTAGCAAGCGAAGGGATCACCCCTGATCATCCGAGGTTCAAGTCGTTGAGCTCCAAACTGTACGATATCGGCAAACTTATGTTGAAAGATTCTACTTCAGGAAGCGAAGGGATTAAGGACACAATGTTGGCTATCATCAAACCACAAGCAAACCTCATCGTTCAACTGGAAAAACATAAAGGGAAATGAAATAAAGGGAAATTAAACTTAACCAAAGTGGTGTGTTTCAGTAAATGTCCATATTTTGTATTTGAATGTAATTCTTACATCCGTTTTTCGTTTGCTCAAGGTTTCACGTAAATGATCATGTTAATGATAGATATTGTGCTTACTATTTTGTTGTGTGCGACGTTTCAGACGATGTTCTCAATCCTCTACCATTCATTAATAACATTGTTTATTCATTGTTGTTTAATGTCCCATTCCTAAAACTCTACCACAAGCCATCCTTCTAGAACTCCCTTACCATGGCACGTGGTGGGCAATACCCTCCAACCTATGCATGTCGACGCGCACCATACACAAGTTCAAGTTCAACCTCGGATACCACCCTATCCCTATAAATGATAAATAATTCCACGCGCCCAAAGGTCCAGAATTGGGCGGAAATGAGAGTTTGGATATAGCAGCAAAATAAAACAGCAGGAGCATGAATCCCAGACTCAACTAGCTACACGTCAACAGTCTAGATAGCGAGCCCATGTCAATATAGCCCACTTCAAATAACACCCGTTACTTTGATTCCCTATTACCCTAACCAATATAAAAGACCACTGGGGTGCCGGGTGGGCCCATTTTAGTGTTTCTCGTCAAGATTCAACACTCCGAAACCATAACGGGGACTTCCATCTGATTTGATTCGTAAGCAGTTAAACTTTAAGTATTTGCCTCACGTCGTAAGCCCGCTACGCACGAGTGCGCGGCTGTATCGTGACTTTCACCTACTATTAGTGAAATGACAATGAGGGTCACGACGTGATACAAGTAAGTCTGAATGCTGAAGTCGCTTGAAAAAACAAAATAGACTCATAGAGCTAGAGGTCGCAAGTCGCAAGTGGCGACGAAATAACGTTTTACGTTAGCTGTTAGCTATGCCTCTGAGCTGAGTTTGTAGAAGTTAATGGTAAACTTTCAAGCTCGTTTATTATTTATATCGTTTATTATTTATATGTTATATCGTTATTATTTATATCGTTGCCTAACCTGCACGCGCATGCAGCGCGTGTCCTTTCTTATTCATGAGCCAGAAATTGAGGTCGCGGAAAAGAATGCAACGTGTATATATTGTATATGCAACATTATACTATTATCCTTAACTGGCCTGGATGCACAAATAAAATATATTCTCAATTCTTGACACACGCGTTACCTGAGGACCCCAGGCTATTATGTTCATTAACATAATAAAGATTTGGCGGAATGACAGGCTGAGCGCGGCCCAGTAACACACGCGTTGCAACCGGCCCTTTTCACGCGCAGCGGCATCCGGCTGGAATGCACTAAAAGGTATACACTATACAACGTGTAGCAAATACAAAATATATTCACAACGAATAATTAATTTAATCACCAAAAAGTGGAGATTTTGACTTACTGTCACCAACGAAGTAGGCAAGTGCTACGAAGAAGCGCGCGCCGGGCTAGTCCATCAACAATGTAGTCAATATATTAACGGGTGACACTTGTATTAAAATATTTGTTTCGGCGAATCCAACTCGGCGAGCGTCCTGGTAGGTTATTGTAGCGCGATGCACTACTGGGTCGCGCGCGCATCAAATAATGCTTCTCTTCGGTAGATCGGCGAGTGGCACCACTGTGCCTCACCGAGCTGCGAAGGATTGACATCGTGAATCAAGGTAGGTTATAAACCTACAAATTAACCGGTGATACTCGTAAAATATTTGTTTCGACGAGTCCAACTCGGCGTTCGTCCTGGTAGGTTATAAACCTACAACCTGTACTACAAACTACAAACAAAACCCAAATCCTAACCCTAAGGGTAAGGGTTAACCATAACACTCCTGCGCGCAGTGTTGTGACCTCCCTTCGTCGTAATTAGCTCGTATTCAGATTGAACAATTTTGAAGTCAAATAAATGTTGTTTCTTTTAGATTTGAATAAACAATAAGGATTTAGTCCGAAAGTAATTTGTCTACTGAATAACATTTTGAAATTATGAACAAAATTGGTAAAAATTTGCCATAGTTGTGACCAAAAAACTACGCGCAGAATTAAATATTTCTTCATAAACGCGTGAACATTTTTGAGTTTAACATTGAATATCTTAGCTCGGTTATTTTAATACTTAATTTTAAAGTATCTATCCGATAACTAAACATTTTATCTTTACGACAGTGTAATTTTTTTTTGTATATTTGCTAAATTAAAAAAACAGTAGGAATAGAAACGTCGAAGGTCTTGCGCTTATTTCAGTCCCAAAATATACCCTAATCATAAACTTCATAAAACCCACTGAAAATGATGTCTACAGGCATATTTAGCCCTTACACTTTCCCAAATCATTTAGCAAGGATTCAGAGCCAGCTTTTAAAATTAGCTTTCGAATAACATTGTTAAGACATAAAACTATAAATAAATGAGTGCGTTTTTCTCTTTCGTCTCAACAGTTTCTCTTTCATTTTAACACTATATATTAGTAAAAGCAATCAGCGATCTTTATTCATCATTAAGGGAGTAAAATAATTGGTCCTCGTTAATGTTTAGTGTCTGATTACAGTTTCGGTCCGACCTCCACACCTGAAAAGATATTGGGGTATTATCAGTTAAGTAAATGGAAAAATCATATTTGCATCATAAAACTATGAAAACTAATGTTTTTGAAGGCTCGCCTATTCGTTTAAGCAATCAAATAGTCAGTGCAAAGAACAGTTGAAGGCACCGGGAATGTTTCAAATAAATCCTCTGTCTACTATCAGACCACACACTCCACTATGCACTTCAATGTATCGTATAACAATGGCAGTTGAAATGTGTTCCCGCCATTTTAAAATCAAAAATGTGCGCAGCATCTTACGGGTTATGCGCCGTGATCAACGGTCACGGCGCAATGGTTCTGCGCCGTGACCATTGATCACGGCGCATACACATTGCGTTTAAATTGTCGTATAAATGTCCAGCTTCTCTGTGAAATTTGGTTGACTCGACTAATTTAAAAATTTAATACTCTTTGTTTGATCATTCTAGTTTAATTGTATTTCTATTATGGTCGGAAAGAATTATAATGTTTTTTTCTTCTACTGGGCCACATTCAGCCTGTCATTCTGCCATATTTTTTCAACGGCTATGAACACTAACATATGAACACTTATATGAGCCTGGCCCCATGTAAGATGTTTCTTTGTAGTCAGCAGTGTATTACTATTTCGGTTTTATAGTCGCATTTAATTCAGTAAATATTAATGGTTTCTTCACCTCTTCAAAGTTCAATGTAATTGGTTTGGAGGTCATTTGAAATAAGGAGGTAAAATAACTCACATAGCTTCCAGCAAGTTTCACGGATATAGTGATTGAGTTTCTAGTCAACCTAGCCTCTTTGCCTGACTGATTTCTTGTTCGGCAGGGTGACTGCTTAAACGTCAACTTCAACCTCTTCCACTGCATCGAATCGTACTAGTAGAATTTGTACCTGAAATATTACATTTAGTTTAGCGACCTTCACATGTGGGTCAAACTTAGTATTTCTGAAAGTTTCGCCAAATTTCATTGATTTCAGAGGGTGTGGCACGTCACTCTCTCCTTTTAGTTTTAATTATTGTCGCCATAAAATGACAACACTTTATACTAGGAACTCCAAAGTTGACAGACACATTTGGTATAATAATTGAAGTGATTCCCAAAATTTCAAGTTGATTACACAATTTGGCCAAGTTATGACCCATTTAAGGGCTAGCACGACAAAGGGGAACCCCAAATATTAGGGGGTCAGATTATATCACCAATTAGTGCCGTATAATTAATGATGTTATCCATCCAGTTGTTTGACATGTGCCCGGATGAAGGATATGAAAACCCTGCTCAATATATTTAAGAGATATGTGGACTGGTCACGTTTCCAGAATCCAGTTGAAATCCTCCAAGTCAAGAGCCCTGGTTATGAAGAGGGGGGTAGTAGTAGAATGGTATGAAGAGAACAGTGGAAGTGGAGGCGTCGAAGAAAGTCTGAGTCTAGGGGGAGAGGTGATTCCAAACGTAGCGGAAAAGCCAATCAAGTTCCTGGGTCGGTGGATTAGAGCAGAGGCAGCACACCAACAGTTTTCATAGGACGTGGCAGGGTGTATGCCATACACTGAGTAACATCTGCTTATTTAGTCAAACATCTAGTGTGGCCTTGCCCATCGGCAGCCTGTCCGATACTTGGAAGCTGGAGAAATGTCGACTCCAACAGTCCTACCAGCAGTTTTTTGATGACATGATAAGGGCGATTCAACCGCAAGTCAGGTCAGGGAGAGTTTGGAGACCAGACAAGGAACTAGATTGTGCTGAGAGGGACTTAGTCTGTGAAGCGGTGAGAGGAATGGTCCAGCCGTACAGCAGGGCAAGGATTGGTTTTGGAGAATGGAAGAAACCGTGGAAGAAGATGAACGCCCGGGAACAACAAGCTGAGGTCCTTCAGAGAGTTAAAAGAAACCTCGAGCATGAAAGTGAAGTTCAATGCGGCTCTCTTGAGATGCAGTCAAGATGGGGACAGTGGAGGGAAGAGGTTATGAAGACGGACATGAGCTGGCACACACTCTTTAAGTATGGTGATTCGCTCACAGGTTTTATGCTCAGTGCGACTTATGGTACTGTGGTCACACCAAATTGATTTTTTTAAATAATCCAAATACAGGCAGCGATTTAGTCAACTTAAGTTTGTCATTTATGTAATTGAACATTAAAAATGTATCCTTCATAGAATTTTGTATTATCTCGAGGGTATAAAATTGTCAATTGAGAAACACGTCATAAATCTAAACAAATAAGTTCATTAAAATAGCTATCAATCAGTAAATGAACGAACCTGTACATCTAGATGATGTAGGTCCACCACTTGTAACTTGTCAGACCGGTTGTTGTACAGCTTCCTGTTCAGTGTTCAGCCTGAAAACACATTTCTGTTACCATGACAACGTTACCATTACAAGTTACCCGTGATGGGGAGTGTCATGAGGTTACGTGACTGATAAAGTTAATACACCTCCTCCCCACTAATAGTGCACTAACCTGGAAATGAGGGAGTAGACTCCAAAAAGTGAGGACCAGCGTCATGTCAGTAACTTTAAAAAAAGCCCGGGCCTATTTTAGATCCTGAAATTAGTGCCAGGAGTCTGTTTTGTGGATTATATTGTTGGCTTTAAAGGGATTTAAAAAGTGTAAACAGTAGGGTATTTATAAAACACATAATTACTGAACACGTGTCGAGATTAACTTAAAACGTGAAAAATCAATAATCAAGTAATCACACGTTTCCTTGCCCCTTCCCTTGTCTGAAAAGTGAAAACTATCCCCTCCCCTTTCACCGAACGTGTGTCTAATCACGAGCAATTTAAATCAAACACGTAAAAAAAAGTAACACATAAATGCGAGTACAGTGGCAGTCAACTACATGAATGGTAGTCAACTGATAGTGCGGAGAAACACGGCACACACGTTAGGCCAGGAATGTTCCGCGCCATATAAGGAATAATTCACTGGGTGTACAAATAAACAATGTGGTTGGGCCGTGAACTGGTGGTATTTTTTACACAACTTGTTTTAGTGGGCTTGTCAAGTCCTGTTCTCGATTATAGTAGTATAGAAGTGAGGCGGAACACCATAGTATGAAGACACAGGCACTTTTAGAGTCCATTTTAATATCACTTTTCAAGCTCAGTGCTTCAGACTTTAAAGTAAAACTGGCACTTTCCATTTTAACTTCGGCTAATTGATCCCTTACCAATATAAGATAAGTTGTAAATGTAAGTATGAATTGTGGGTCAAATAAGACAGTAGTTTTTATGTTCTTATGTGACTTTTTAATCTATAATTCCCGGCCAAAAACTCAAAATTGGCCGGGGCCGGGAATAAACACCTCCCCCGGCGCCGGGAATCCCGGTCGTTCAGTGCATTACAGCACAGTAAACAGAGCCAAAGTTGTTAATTGTCAAATGCTAAAATAGAATCTCTAGAATACAAATAAATTCATTCGATCAACATCGAAAATGACGTCACAACGACGGTAATGTCAATGACGTCACGAAGCTCACTTGAAGTTTTTGCTGCTGTCTGAGTTTATCAGCTTGTTCACCAGTCTCTGTACTTCTTCAGCGTGCTGATTCAACAGCTCCTGCGGGAGATGCTTTTTGGTCTTTCAGCGCTTTTAGCTTCTCCTGAAATAATCGAGAGGTAATATTGTCTTCTTTCTCTAATAACAAACAAAATAATAAACAAACAAATAAGCAAAGTTTTGTCTGCTTTCAAGCTCAAAAGTAATAGTAACACTAACACGACTCACGAGCCCTTTAAAGCTTGTAATAATGTAAGGCGTGACTGTGTTTTCTATGGACAAAATTATTTCAACCTAATTTCTGCATGACAATGTTTAACCTAATTTCTACATGACTATGATCCAGCTATCAGGAAAATTTAAACATCTAATAATTTAAAATTATATCATTAGAACTAGAAGTTCATTTAAAAGTATCGAAATCTTAGTTCTATTTTTACAGTCACCTTTTTAACTATTGAGTTCAATGATTGCTAACTTTGATTTACTCTTTAACTAAAATTTGCTGAAATTAAAAAGTTGTATGATAAAAAGGTACACAAAATCAAAAACTTAGTCGATTAAACTCGTTTCTAGTCTGCGTCCAAACTTACTTATTATTATTAAAGTTAAACGTTAGAATTTATAAATAATAGTAAAACAGGATTTAATATCTCCCAAAGGATCAACCTCGTGAACTGTAACTTCGATTTAATAAAAGGCTCGAATAAAAGCAAAGAGGTTACTAAGTACTTACCTATTACCCCCTTGACATAAGGTTAAAATTCTCCCCTAACGAGATATTGGCGAAAAACTGTCTCGATCACGTGATATGACCGTATAAGGAAGTTAGCCTAATTTCTCTATAGTGTTTCAGTATATGCTTTTGTAAAGGATTTGGTTAGGGTTAGGCCGTTAGGGTTGGGATCTGATTAGAGGGTTATGGTTTCCGGGTTTCGAATAGTTGTTTAGGGCCATCTACAGAACGGGTTGAAGAAGTCACGTGACAGGCGATTGTAGAGTGATTAATCATCATCCACCATAACTGCCATCGTAAACAGTTAATTAATTAGGTATCAACAATCAAGCACAATATATAATACAGCAGGGCTGATTACTGCTGACACATTATAAAGCAAGTAAGAGCAGAAATATGGATGATGGAATAACGCGAGGCAACAGTGAACTGAGCGCAATTAAGGCGCGAACAGTGAACGCACGAGGTGTAAAGCTTAAAGTGCTCCTTCATCAATTATGTTCACTCTTAGACGGATTTGACACGCGAAATTGCGCGGCAATTATGCGCGGCGCGTAAAACTTTTGTAAACCTTTCGGACAAGGGTTAAATTATTTTTCTACTGTCAACAGAGCCCAAGTTATACATGTTTTAATATCAAAAAATGTACAATTTTTTTGTATCATTTTTAACTAATTTCTTTTTCAAATCGCTGCCACATCAAAATTATTTTACGAAAGTACATTAAATTTTCACAGAAAGCAAGCATAATCGTTTTAGAACTATATTAAAAAAGAATTTAATATTAAAAATGTTAAAACTTTAAAATTATCAATTGAATAAATTGCCAACGTCCAAATATTTGTAAAATACGACGAAGAGGGGTCACAACACTGCGCGCGGCAGTGCATAACCCCGAAGTTGCTCTAACCAGAGCCCTCTCGCTTGCAGTAGCGCGCGTCACGCAGTACGCGTATACACATGGCTAATGTGAAACCCCGAAGCTATCCATATCCACCCTTACGGATGATGATTAATCACTCTGACTCTACACTCGACTGTCACGTGACTTTTTCAACCCGTTCTCTAGCTGGTTCTGAACGACTTTTCGAAACCCTTACCCTCTAATCTGATCCCAACCCTAACCCTAACCCAATCCTTAACAAAAACATATACTGAAACTCTAACCCTAATGAGAAATTAGACTAACTTCCTTATACGGTCATATCACGTGATCGAGACAGTTTTTCGCCAATATCTCGTCAGGGGAGCATTTTAACTATGTCTTACTGGGCCGCGCTCAGCCTGTCATTCCGCCTAATCTCTATTCATATGTTTATGAACATGATAGCCTGAGGTCCCCGGGTAAAACTATGTCATGGGGGGGGGGGGGGGGGGGTGTGATTCGGAATCAGCGTCCGAAAATACATCGATTGAAGTTGGTTACAACCGTCGGGGGCCCTTTTAGAACAATTTTCAAAGATCGACTGTAAAGTGATTTAGCACGCTCGAACCCTTACCACAACACTAACCCTAACCCGAGCCCTCAACAATCGAATTCATGTTTTACTAGCCTGTTTCACATAGCCATGTGTCTATGTTTATGAACATGATAGCCTGAGGTCCCCAGGTAACGCGCTACTGCAAGCGAAAGGGCTCTGGTTAGAGCAACTAGCCT